TGACAACACTCGAGTTCATTTCACGAAGCAGCAGCGCACAGGAGAAGGGTTGATTTCAAAAGAGATGCTCTCATCTACATTAAGGCCTAGATACGCATTCGAAACAAGCTCGTTTTTGAAAATATAAAATGGTGTTGTCCAACATATTTTCCAACACATGCATTCCTTTTTCAACGCAGCCAAACGCCTAGTATTGTGAATCCGAATTCATCATTGCCTTTCGAACAGGGCTAATATTGGGCACCACGGCGTTAGGACGTTTGCGAAGCCCCAGTGTTGTCAGTGCCTCTCGTTGAATTGTGCGGTTGAGTAGCAAGTAAACGATTGCAGGAAACCCTGAAAGGTACAAGTTTTCAATGTGTTCTGTTTGTATCGACATTTCGACCACTTCTGACCCATTTTCTATTACGATTCCATATTTCAGCTTGACGCTTTGAAGTAGCTATAAACGGGCACAAGCAAGGCTGTTGCCCAACGAGGCGATTTTGTTTCACGGATTCAGGGTTTGTGAGACGGTGGGTGAAGAGGAGGATGACTTTAGCTTATGAGGCCAGATAATAGCTTGTCTCAGTGTACAGTCTCTCTCCATATATATGGTCAGTGCATAAAACATTGCGCCAAGGCGACACTGTTTGAAAGTGGTATATTGAGTGGGGCTCACTAGGATACTTTCAAAAGTAGCAGCATCATACCCTGTCCCGGCACTTGGTGTGCTACTTCATGCTGCAATTCGGAGCGAAAATCAGATGGTTCGCCACTCAGGTGTGTTCAGAAGATTTTTCTTTTTTAGCTAGGAAATTCTACTTCTGAAAAGAACAGTTTGAAATTACTCTAGAAGCGCATTTATTCGCAGTTCGGCTTAGTATGAGAAGGAAATATTTTCACTCTGCTCTTTCGCTAATTCTCTTTGGCATTTCATGTCAAATGGAATGAAACAACTAATTTTCGCCCCAAAGTGAGGCTGTTGTAAAGTGTTGTACTAGTGATCCACTTCGAAGCATAAGGGAAGAAGTTTCGGCTACTCAATCCCGTTTCCGGATGCGGCACGCATTCCACTTACATTCAGGATCGTTTTGGCTTAATGAATGCGACATAACTTATACAAGGCTTCCAAGGGCCAGACGATGTGCAAGTCAGTGTTTCTACCTTTCCAGAAGAACCTGGTGCCAATTTACAGTCCCGAAAGGCGTGAGACTTCATTGGTCTGAGCTGTAGTTGGGTCCTGGATTTCACCTTCCACGTGGTGAGCAGATCACTTACCACTACACCACCTCCGCACTCAGTCCACCTTGCTCAGAGTAGTTTACAGACTTTCACAGGGTGATCCGCTGGGAACCATTTAGCGTCTCTACGGAGCCGTACTGTACCCGCACTTGAATGAAATGAATCGGGAAAAGCCAGCCTAGTGCAGGGGTTGATAGCACTTCCCAAAGTAAAGGGGTTTCTTAAGTACGTGGCTCATTTTGAGTGCAACCAAGAAGGCCTTCAAGCCGTTATCATAGTCATAAGTATCATGAGTAGAAATTGATATTCAATGAAGCTGTGTAGAAAAACGGGTGACATTACCATGTCCAAGCTGCCAGCAAATGTGACCAATCAAAACGAAATATGACGGCGTGGGGAAGAACTGCATGTAGACATAGATGAGTGCCGCAATCAAATTTGCCATACATATTGAGGAAGATTGTATGAAGAACTAAACGACCAAAGAGTTAAGCAAAACTGTACTACAACCCGAGGAT